TGGAAGGTATTCTGTGACCGTCCACTTCAAATTTACCATACTTGCGATTGATTCGATCGAATATCCAGTATCTAGTCACAAATCCGTATTTAGTGAGGGGTTATTGGATATAACGCGCTTCCTGCTTGTGCGACGTCCCGTCTCTGACCCAAAACCTTCAGTTCATATGTGGTGTTTCCATTGATGACCAACTAACGGACAGAACAGTGGATCACAGACAACAAATGATATAAAAGTGATTCGTTTAAAGTGGAGGGGATGTCATCTGTGCACGCCCGAGAATTGAGACCCAATCAACAAAAACAACGCACGCTAAAAATGCGTATATACATAATGTCAATTCTGCAGAATGGTTCGAGTTCTAGATTGGTGCAGCAAGCTTTTATCTCCTCTATTGTATTACCTGAAAAAATCAAATGTTATGGTTAGTTATGAAATTTTGTGTGTGTTTCTGTAGCCAGCCAATACATGCCATGGCAGCTGACCGAAGACAGAATGGAAGTTTGGTATCGAAGAACTGTAATCTCATCATGCCATAGTCAAGGGGATCGACCGGAATTCATCTGTAGCAACGCCTTATGACAGCTTTGAACAAGAAGCAATCTTGACCATATTGTTTTAAAAATTTTAATCAGATTGTAAATTGATGGGTACTAAAGTTTATATGAATCACCAAGAAAAGTGTCATTGGTATGCCATCGTTGACTGATGTGCCTGCTGAAAAAGATAGATCCATAACAGTTCGCCTTTCAGTTAACCCATTCTTTGGTACAGATGATAGTGGAGAGAATGCTAATGGTAGTGATAGTGGATTGCCTGAAAATAGACCGGCGAGTGCTCCAAGCATGGTTTCTTTGACAATATATGAATCGGTATGAGATGTGAAATTGACTACAGAATTATGATTATGCTTGACTGTATGGGGTAGCACGCTATCTGCGTAGTTGATTGGCCAACCAAATTGCAGAAAGTCTACGATAATGTTATCAAAATAATCGTGTAGTGATGTACTCCACAGTTCCACATTGACTGTTGATGGCACGGTAATTCGCTGATCCTGGTAGTTTGGCCTGCCTGATTGCACGATTGCTTTGCACAAGAAGTCAAAATTCAATGTGGATGTTAGTGGCCAGCTGATAGTTAGTGGTTCGATAATGCTCGTGTAGGTTAAATAAAGGTTTTTTTCCCCAATGTTTTGTACAGTGTATAATGGGTATATAAAGCGATTTGGCGTAACTGTAACTCCCTGTGATATCATCACCTGTGTTCTTGTGAGTATTTTGGTTGTACTGCGCTTCTGAAACGGAAATAGATTAGTCTCGTGTCGTGATGCTATGTGAGACAACGATGTTGGTGTCCATAGAGGAGATACTAGTCCATACGAGGAATGGTTTTCTCATTGGTGGTGCTACCCAACGCGGGAGGCGATTGTGAGATGATGTATTAGTGTGGTCCTGGGAGACCGAGTCCAACGCGGAACACAATTTTTAGAGGAGATAACACAATTGAAGTATCGGTGAACTGGTCGGTGACGTGCTGCTGGGATCGTGATTAATGTAACTTTCACCATTATTTGTACTTGTATATTGATATGTGGTTGTCATTCCTATGATTTGTGTGGGCAGTCCTTGTCTGAATGTGTGGCCTTGACTTTGCATATGAACAAATACGAGCGGCAAATATAGTACTCCTTGATGATCACTCCCATGTCCGCACTGCCCTTTTTCAATTGTACTGCTACTTTGCATTGTAAAGAGACATCTTGCTTTAATTTGTGAACAGTCACTGTTCCATCGTTGTAAACCTCTCTCTATTTTCGTCAGTACTTCGGCATTGTAACTGCGGACTTCACTCAAAGTATACAACTCACATAAGTGTAGTAAGTCAGTAAGGTGGCTGGCTCGTAGCTGCTTGTATTGTTCAGACTCTTTGTGAAAGATAATGTAAATTCCGCTTTTGTCAATGCTGGGAGAGTCAGTTGGTTGTAGGGCATCTGTATTTGAACCATGTGTAGCCAGTCTACTTGCAAATTCATGGGGCCATGGAACTATGTACTTATTCAATGTACTTGGTCAATCGACTTTCTTACAGCACCTGATTTTGCCTTCTTTTTCTCTTTTTTAAGATGAAATACATCATAAGCTAGTTTCCTACTTTTTGTGTCAGTGGTTCAGGTATCGCCGTTGGAATTTGAAGATGATGTTGTAGATTGCTCAGAATCGGTTGAGCTATGGGTTTCTACTATTTGCAACTTTTTCTTCGCTTTATGCACTTTTTTATTCACATTTCTGTTTGTTTTTTTGGATATTAACAATGCTCACTTTGGATTTCGAACTGTGCGTTTTCTTGGCCTTTCTTTTGAGAGCCTCGTTTTTGGCCATTTCTGTCTTGTCAATTTGCTGTTGTTCGTTTTCTTGACGAAGAGCCTCTAGTATATCTTGTTTGTCTTGATAAGTTGTTAAACTCCAACTATGGATCAATTTGTCAGTTTCAGTGGTGGCGATGTGATGCATGTTTCGTCGTCTTGTTGTGTAGGAGTTGAAGTAGCCATCTTATGAAAATCGAACGATTTGCTGGTGTTATCCCCGCAAAGTCGCCCTGATGCTCCTCGGTGATTGACTAAAGATACTTGACAAGTAGAACAGTGCCGATGTGGACGTTGAATCATGAATTAGGCGGATTAAATTGAATAGATGACTAAAAAGTAGCCAACTCAACGATGGCTGGACGCAGAGGATGATAAGAAACAAGTTACCCAAACTACTAGCATAGGGGGACGCTCTCTCTACCCAGAAACTGAGTTGTCATAAATTAATCAAATTCATCACGATACTGATAAAACATTTACTAAATAAAGTATATTGATGCATCGATGTTGTTAGTTAGTCATGATGACATTAATGACCCTCACGAATACAACAAATTGTTTCGCTGACACGTACTTTATCACGTGTTTATAGAGTAGTTCAACGCACTGCAAATATGTGTGTACCAAACATCTAACATGAATTTACTATTGAATTAAAGAATAATTAACTTGTACTTTATTTCTAATTTGTTTTCGCTATCTTCGCTGAAAAGATGAATCAGTGGGAATAAATTCCTATGTTTTACATTCAGCTCACCAAGATTCAGAGAAATTAAATGTCATACACAACAGTCAAAATGTATTTTCAATGAAAATTATAAAGTATTTTACAATATGATGTGATTACATGGGTAACAAACATTCCCCGCCATATCTGTAGGGCCGTGACAACAACAACAACAACAAACAAGAACTTGCTATTAAATTGAAATATAATATAAGTATGACTACACGGGTATTTAAGAGTAAACGAACCCGACACATTCACTATAAGCAACTAACCACGTGACATAACTAATTGAATTAGCCTGTAATTGTCGCGTTATATACGGAATTAGAGGTTGGGATTATTGACGATTATTGATGTACTTCTATTTGTTAATTGTGTACAAATGATGTATTTTTGTTAACTTAAAATTCACCCATAAGAAAATTATTATAATACCCTGTATAGTAGATAATATTTGGTAATCGTACTCCTAAGTAACTTTTAAAAATAGCTAAACGTTTCAAGCAATGGCTCTTTATCGATAGCATAGAAGTAAATGTTTAAACCTGTAGGTCGAACATAAGAACGTAAGAACACGCCATTTTAAAAAACACACACGTCATTTTTTAACACACACGTCATTTTTAAAAACACACACGTAATTTTTAAACACACACGTTATTTTTAAACACACGCCATTTTTAAAAACACACACGTCATTTTTATAAACACACACGTCATTTTTAAACACACGCCATTTTTAAAAACACACACGTCATTTTTTTAACACGCACGTCGTTTTTAAACACACGCCATTTTTAAAAACACACACGTCGTTTTTAAACTCACGCATCGTTTTTACACACACATTATTTTTAAAATACACATGTCCTTTTAAACATACACGTTTTTTTAAATACACATAATTATAAAACACACACGTCATTTTAAGACACACATCATTTTTAATTCACGCGTCATTTTTAAAACACACGTTTTTTAAAACACCCACGCCATTTAATATACACACATGATTTGTTAAAGCACATACCATTAAAACGCACAGTCACGTCGTTTTTTTAAAAATGCACACATCATTACAAAACACACACGGCACGGCCTCCAATACGTACGTAATTTTGAATTATTAGTACGTTTTCGTCTAGTACACACAAACTAATAAATTTACATTCCGCGCCTCGTATAGGCAAGCCACTTATGGACTAACACCACAGTCAGTATTCTATTTGCAATGGTGATTTGCATCTGTGATTGTGTAACACAATAGACCAATCAGGTGTGTAGAAATTAGACTATATAAACAAGATCAACTATGACCATGCTGCAGTCCGACGGCAGCACACATTCACTTGCATCCTTCTAGCGTAAAGCCTGATTCAACTTGTACGACCATGCCAGAAACAGACGACTTAACCCCTCCATTTGAAAAGACCTACTACTACGACGGAAGGAAGGATAGACTAATGGTAACCGCTATGCACAGCGATAGCATAGACGCACTGAAAGACTTCGAAGTTAGAGACGATGATGTGTATGTTGTAACTTACCCGAAAGCAGGTAAGCATGTGTGTGCTTGCAGAAAAGTGGAATTAAATGTGGTCCACCACTAAACCGCGATTTACAATTTGCGAACCTCTCATTAAACTGTAATTAAATTGCATTCGTATATAGATTTGTAATTTAATTAAGTCGAATTCAATTGTGTTTCTGAATAACATTTAGTACTAGTATTTTAATTTAATTACATCAGGGAGCTGTAATGATGAATTACATTCATTACAGCTCCCTGGTTACATTAATATTCACTCCTGCATAGGATTGCAATTGAATTTAATTTAATTGCATTTTTATATGAGATTGCAATTTAATTTAATTATCTTTAATCGCGGTTTAGTGGTTGCTGTAAATGTGAGTATCGACCAGAGGAGGAGTGCAACCACTGTGACTTTATGCTGAGTCAATATATCTATTTGTATACAAAAGTGTGTATGGATATGAACGGCCCTAGATGCGATGTCACATCCCGAAACAATGTACCATGTTTAATGTAGTGGTCCGTTCATGTAAGTATTCCAGCTGCGGTTCACATTTGTGCCTAAAACCAGGAGCAAATGTAGCACACCAAGTTCAATCACTAGTATGTTATCAATTTATGTATTCAAATATGTCAGTTCAAGGGTGGCGGCGTTACGCGGGGTTTAAATGTGAAAACAGTTGAAACGCAATTTATAAAAAACATAGGACGTTCATTTAGTCTGTCTTTTTCTTCCTCATATTCGTCGTGAAGTTCGATATGCAATCCCAACTTGTTGCTTAAACCCCATCTAAACAAATTAGGGTATTTACCAAAGTTACAATGTTAAATTTAGTGAGTTATTAAAAGTCTCCGCACTCCAAATAATTGATTGTTATGTGATAAGTGATGATTTATTAAATACCTTTCTCTTCAATATGCACCAGGTATTATGTATCCACGATTTATAACTTTGCGTAATAAATTAGTGATGTGTGGGGTGAATGACAGGTGAATTAAAAAAGTACGGGTCAGTCGATGTCAGCAAGTAAATCATTCGGTCGTTAAATTCAATTTGACCTGGAATATTACCAGTCTGATGGAGGGTGATTGATACGGACGTGCCTCTCTATGGTGTCATTTTATTCATTTAATTTGTGTCAGGTATTCGATAACAATAAGCAAACCATGATCTATTTAATCTGCATTTATCTTGCGTAACTACTGCGCGGGGTGACAGTTAAATGAGACAAGTACGGGTCAGCGACTCATTCATACGGTCGTTAAAGACACATCAAATGAAAAATGAGATCTAGTACAATGAATACAATTCAGTCTAGTATTACCGGTCAATCTTTTGGGCAGAGATTTATACAGGCTAACCAAGTTAGTTGGAGGGGCCATCGGTTTTTGTTCATAATCCGTGACCGTTCGGGGCCATTGCTTAAGAGTCGGGAAAAAAAATCAAATCAAATACACCCTTTGCACCTTTGGGAGTTTTTAAATCAGCATTACAAATTATACATACTGAAGTTCGTCGTCTCAAAATTATGTACACAGAGTTGGAACTTGTTGGTGACCAATCATGGCCATGTGACATTTGACACGATAATTAATATTACACATTACAGATACACCTTAGTTTATTTACTCTTTGGATCTTTTCGCGTTCAAAGCGATCAGCGGAGCCACTGCGCCCTCATAGATGGAGTGATGGCAAACTGATACAAGTTGGATTAAATTGTGATCCGTCTGTAATTTATGTAAGATCCACCATTCTTAGTTTTTTTAGAAAGACAGAAGAAAACACCCCGAGTACTCTGTGACTTTTCATTATGATCATTGACCTTTCTTTCCCTGCCCGAAATTGTTTATGAGTACCTTACTTACATGCTTCAAATTACCCGTGTCAAAATATATAAAAATGGTCCGTGGGAAGCAATTATTGGTGTGCTCGGGGTGCTACATGATCGTTAACTCCATTCGATATAAATGAAAAAGCATAAAGAGGGTGTAATCATGTTTGTATCATTGGTAAATCCAGAACGCTCGAAGGGGTAAAAGCTGTGTTATGTGTTGGTCATGGATTGCTCATGGTGTCTATATAGAAAGTATTGTATTTAATATGTCCCTGTCACCCTCTAACACATCAACATGTACTTGCACATGACAGTTATGGAACTTTATGAGTTACTCTCTCCTCACATGCCCTTATGCAAACCAAAATACAATTTATGACCCATGCTTTCTCACGAAATCGTGGTTGGAAATTTTCAAGAAAAGTCCAAATGAAGATAGTGCAGCTTATAATATCAAGTGTCGTAATAAGCTTTCACTTCCCTTGTAGGTACGACATTCATTCTCGAGATCGTGGATGCTATTATGCATAGGGGAAACATCGACGAAATCAAAGGAAAAAAGATGACGGATAAACTTAATCTGATCGAAATAGGCCCGGCACCAGGCATCGAAATCGCTACGTATAAAAAGTTGTCAACGTGGAAGTCACCTCGACAAATCCAGACTCATCTGCCAGTTGATTTGATGCCACCGCAAGTGTTCACCAAAAAACCTAGGGTATCTAAACATTCATCTTTAATTAAACATGACATGTATCACGTATACGGATAAAACTGGTGGAGGGAATATGTTGGATTGGTCGTGATCAAACAAGTGATTAAGCCACGAAATTCTCGCATCGTGTAATTCTTCTCGGTTATCAATTCTCGATATGTGACGTCATTTGTATCACATCTAATGTAATTTATACAATGTTTGAATGTTTTAGATTATCCTTGTATCAAGGAATCCCAGAGACTGTTGCAAATCTCTCCATGGATGGCATGCGACTACAAACTTTTTAGAGCCATGCGACTGGGACTATTTGGTTGATCGTTTTGTAGAAGGCCAGGGTAAGCATTTTTTTTAATCGTTATAGCGCCACCAATATATATTCTCTACCTGAACATATAACTGCATAGCATAATTTATTGTTATTCAATAGCATACACAACACACAAATAAACAACATACATGTCTAGTATCATAATTGTGAAATATGGGTCTGAAAACAAGTGACTCTGAGTCTTATCCTTAACATAAAATATAGAAGAGGATATTTCGGCAAAGTCGTCAAACTTATTTCAAAATATGTGAACACACTTTTCGAATCGGTATTTACGATGTACCAGGGTTTTCGTCCAGATTACTTGATATCGGCGCAAATAATCAACTTTATCATATTCATATGCAAGATATCCTTTATATTTTCACAAATGCACCGTCATCAGAGTGTTTTGTTCTCCTAATTATTTATCCTAATGGAGTATGGCTGTTTTAGTGCAAAACAATACCTATACAATGGAATTGTTGAAAGGCAGTGGTCGTTGTGCCGCGCATGTGCGACATCTGAGTTGATAAACATTGATTTTCCCAAAATACAATGCGCACTTCTAATGGAAATCACGAGTATGAGGTTTGATCTGGGCGCGACTTTCACCAATAACCGCCGGTGACTCCATCGATACCTTCCAATCACCTAAAAAATACCTAATTAAAGCTTGGTAACGTCTCAGTTTGTACACGTTGGTCTACGCAACAGTCAAAGTCGCCATCTTTGTATATATGAGACCAATATATCTCGCGTATGCGTGGCGCGACGACTACTTCCTTTTAAAATAAAAGCCAAACCAACATAAACTAGGCGGTGTGTTTTGTTGACAGGCCTAGCTGACACCATATAATTTACCATTTTATTTGTTTTAATGTGACCACCTAGTTATCTTTGGATGCTGGTTCGAACACCTGGCAGACTGGCTTAAGCTGAGCGGCAGGGACAACTTCCTACATTTGAAGTACGAAGACATCAAAGAGGTATGGATAATAACATGTAGCGCCCTCAAGCAATGAATTGGTTATATGTCGTCAGTTAACAGAGACGAGCGTAAGATAATGACTAAATGAGAAACTGTGTTGTTGTATGTCACCTATAAAATGGCAAATCTCTAAAATTAGTATTGTTACAACCATGAACGTTAACGCTATAACGTGTATATTGTTAGAACGTGACGAGCAGATACTCACCGTTTCCAGGGTATTATTTGAATATGCCGATATACCCTCGGGTGTATGGAGTGTCTTGTTTGTAGACATGTCAACCTTCGATGCGTCATTCTCCATTGTTTCAAAACAAACAAGAGCACTGCTTTTCATTTAAATACAGGATCGCCAAGGTGCATCGGAGACTGTTGCTAAGTTCCTTGGGTACGACCTGGCGCCTGAAGAGATGAAGAGAGTCGTAGAACATACCGATTTTAATAACATGAAAGAATATATGAAAACAGTAACAGAACGTGAGGTGTTCCTGCGTGAAAATAGGCATTGGCAACGCAAAGGTAATAATACCGCTGTACTAGTAAATTATATGTGTTGGACAATTAACACTACAGCTCCATTACACACGTGTACACTACGTGTGTGTTCGGTCAGTTCAATATTGACATACATAACATGTAATTCAAGTTTTTATATGGTATGCATAATCGATGGCATGTCGTAAGCGGATTGCCATCACCAATTTTATATTGGAATAAAAATAATACACCTGGGGACACACTGTACTGTTTACTGCTATAGACGAGTGCTCAGTCTGTATCGAACAGTCAGTTCGCTCGAAACTTGAGCCGCCCGAATACTTGACATAGATGAAAGACGACCTAATCGAAGTTGAACCCCAAAAAATATCTAAATATAATATTCACAACATATATACATAATCATCCTGGTATTTGTCGTTGTTTCGCCAGTAACCTTTCAAAAATATATTCTAAAGATGTGAACTTTTTGATCGTGAAAAATACTGTATTCTTTTTGTTCTTGTGTTGCATTGTATTGTAATGTAATGTACGAGTCATTTTTCAACTGAGATAGTGAATTTTTCAGATATCTTCCAACTAAATTTGGCACTTTTTTTTTTACTTTTCATGTCATAAGCAATTTGAGCTAATCACGATATAAATATTACACTTTATTAATTAATTGTCTCCAAATAATCTGTGTTGCAGGAATTGTGGGCGACTGGAAGTCACATTTCACAGTTGCCCAAGATGAAAAATTCAAGGAATGGGAGCAGCGTAAATGTAAGGAGTATGGAATTGATTTCACTCAATACTACACCAAGACACCTAATAAATAGAGACTCTCAACTTGGAGAGCCCACTTTATAGAAGTTACATGTAAAGTGTGAACAACATATCCATTCAAATATCGATGATTACTAGTCGTACTGGTAGATGCAAGACACAAAACAAACTAGTCGTATATTCCCAGCTCTATTTTAATGTCTTAAAATATAATGAAACATTGGGAGAGGGCAGAACATACTGAAAATTGGGGTTTGATTGAGTAAAAATGAGGTGAGGCTTTTTTTTCTTTGTTAAAATAAAAATTTTGCAGAATTAATCTGAATTCGTCAACAGAGGGCGCTGTTAACATATACTGTACTTTAATTCAGATTTCTTTGAATTCAATTGCCCACTTGTTGAAAACTGCTTATGCACCTTTTGTAAAGTGAAATTGAAAAAAAATGTCACCCGTAATTTCTGGACAACATTTTCGAGATGGTTCTAAGAACGCGATTCACAAAATGGTCTTTCCAGTATTCACGATATAATACTCTGTTCAAATGAGTTCTCTCAAGTTTCAACAAAGTATATTCTCGATCTTGCTGAAATACATTTATATATGCTAAATCTAATCACTCGAACTTTTAATATTAATATAAATGAGATTAGGAATATATCGCAACAAAGAATCATATCACCAAAAGCAGTCCATTTCACAGGATTCAAGTTCAGATATCCTTCATTTGCAAATAATGAACTGAATAAACATACACATTCTGCCTTGAACAAAATCTGACCAATGTGACTACATTATGTTATTTGTGTATGAAATGTGATATTAACAGTTGAACAAGTAAGCATACTAGCATTATATACAAGCAGGAAAACAACTTTTCGTGAAATACAAATTTCGAAATCATAATCATATATACATTATGGGTTCCAAAATCCTCATTATTGGCTTTTGTTTCAAACTACTCTGGTGTAATAGCTTGGAAATCACGTTAATAATAATTATGTCACGTGATAACATAACATGTTTATGTAAAGGTGATAGTGGAATTGATTTAATCATCGACCAACGTCTTGTAGGTTTACATAAATGATGAATTATTTTACTGTCAACTATGACTCTTCCATTGATGAACTGAACCGCCCACTTACATTGGTTAATTACGAAGCTATATAAATAATTGTAAAGCATATAGTCTTGTATGTGATGAATATCATTCAAATTAAGCACCACTATACCAGGTTACGATCCTCCCGTTTTAAATGAAATACCAGGCATTTGGTGCATGGACATTCAATATGACGGAATTTCGGAATGTCGAAAGAAATCAGGTACAAATTACTTCAGAATGTTTTTTTTATTTACCCTGTGATTAACCTCGAACATCAATACCCAATTTTTAGAGACAATTCTTTTTTATTTTCCGCAGTGCAAACTGCATTGAGAGCACACTGCATTGCAGTTTTAAAATATCTCTGTTAAATGCATTTATTGGTCTTCGGAAAAATCAAGGCATTTTTAAAATTCGGTTTGTTAAGATACGAACCTGGCGTACTATTGGGTTGATTTAGGTCATATGTCACCAACTGACCAATCACCTTCGTATTTCTATGTTTTAATTACTGTGTTTTTCGAGAGATTTGTCCAGATGCAGTCCCACTACAGTATGTGTGTCGTGCTTACCTCAATTTTGCCAGAGTTTGAGCCGGCACATAAATGCATTTCTTTCATGTGGTTGATTACTGGCATGTTAATTTCACATTTTAGAATCATGTTACTCATCATTTTCATATAGCAATCTGTCATATGTGTTAAAATTGTCATCTATGGACTTCAAATGAACTGAGATTTGAGTTGCAATCACCTGTTTGAAATTCAAACTATTTTGATTGAAATCATGAAAAGTATATTTGCAAAATTTGACCCCCTCGATTAATCAAGGATGGCGTTTTGGCGAAAGCATTTGAAGTCTAGGCCAGTTGAAAAGAAAACTTATTGGGTTGCAATATTTGGAGAGGGCACGGCACAGTATGGAACCATACAAGTGAGATTTCCTGGCTCTAGAAAGTGGAGTACGGTACATGTCCAAAGACTGCAATACATGCTGTACCACAAGACATTTGCAGTCAGTGGAAGTGATATATCAGAGTTGTGTGTGTGGCCCGAGCTGGATCTCACTGGAACGCCGGGGGTAACAATCCTCGAAAATATTCATTGGGCACAATTTATACCCACCATGCATTTTAATTAAAAAAGGAACAATATAATTGATCAATAACTGCATTTTATTCTTTCAATGGTCTTACTGTAAGTATGGTAAAATATTTTACATTCCTCACTTTTAAATGCCAGTTTATTTAAAGACATTACTTTGACATAAGTATTCTGTTTATCTGAGATTACTTTATCATATACGTTTTCTCAGTTTTTCCCAATCGTTCAATGGTTCGTGCCAAAAAATAATTATATTTCATTTGGGGGTAGGATAGTGTATAACACTATTATATATTAGTAACATGCACATATTTTCATTGAAATCTTATCAGGTCTGCGCATTATCACAAAGCATCATTGAAATATAATGATTGGTTCTTGAGATAATGGTGGAACAGACACACATATGCAACGACTCCCATTGTGTGCAATGCATACAACTATCAAATGTTGCCATATGCAAATTACTGCATTCGGCACAGACAATAATAAGTTAAATAATAATAATTGATAAATGTTTTGTTCGATGCATTCATTATGGCCCTGTTCTGCAACAGTGTTTCAGATATGAATACTATGAATATTAATGAGTTCACATGACCATATGTGGTCATCTATTATTTTAGTCAAATCTCTTGTTTAACATCATCATAATAATGTAGGCATCCTCTTCCTAACTACAATAGTGCTTGAGATAAGAACTTATGCATATTATTGTCATTTGGGTGAAAGAATATAATGCACAACATTTTAGCAATGTGACTAATTAAAATTACAACATGGCTATGGCTACTCATGTTGGTTGGTTGAAGCCCCGATGAGAAACAAGTGCGCAAACATTCAGTCATTTTGTCAATAATCGAAGATGGCGGCCAAACCATGTGACTCGTCGATTTTTGTTATTTCTCGTATGAAATAAAGCTATGGTTAAACATGTTATATGCAAAATATCAAGCTGATTGGTTCGAGCAAATGTCCAAACTCTCGGTCATTTTTAAATTTACTCCGAGATGGCGGCCAAATCACATGAATGATAACAATTGTATTATTTATCTCATATGATCGGTTGAAGCAGCTGTGAAAAACAAATGCCCAAACTTTTGGACAATTTTGCCTAAAATTCAAGATGGATGAGTTCGATATAGAGATGCAATGCAGCCAATCAGAAGATAATTACATAAGTGTGATTTGAGTAAAAAAATACTTCCTGTTTAGAAGCAATCAAAAATGGCAACCAAACCAGGTAGTATATACTTTTCAGAACTCAGAACCAACTTTTCATAACTTCAGAACCTCAATTTCAAAATAGCTTCCTTATCATAGGATGTCATATTTTAGGTTATTATTAATATGACCACACCCAACCCCAAATATATGCAAATTAGCTAAATCCAGATATTTACCTTGATCTCAGCAACCATTGAGACGATTCCTCCCTTGAGGCGTCCAAGGTGTAAACCTTCGGCACGAGTAGATTATCTATAGACAATTGTAAACGCACCTTCACCGATAGAAACTCAAATAAAAAACTTTTAAAATGTTGCTTACGATTTTTAGCTTTCCTCTTGCATATTATTTTTTTATTTCTTATGCTCAACACAATAATACCATCATGAATAAATTATGCACCAGTTGAATTCAACATGTCTTTCTTTGTTTTGAAATGATTATGTTGCTCAAAACACCAATCACGTGCACGTTACCTGTATTCTTTTTAAAAACATCCCAAAAAATGGTTAAAATTGTAAAAGGTTTACATGATTAGTCGAGTATTCACAGCAATTAATCTACAAAACAATGACATATGGACAACAAGGTTAAGATCAAGAAGTGATATCGGGTGTTTGTATAAGAGTATATCTTGCACTAACAGTAGTAACCGCCATATATTCGTAATTTGTCACCAGTTTATGATATCTGCCACAGCAGAAAAGCATATATATTAAGGCAAGCTGTTCTCCTGAAAAAACTTGACCTTCGAGCTTTGAGAACAAGAGTCTGACGTTTCCTATATTCTGTCATCATATCAAGTGCAAGTTCGAGCATATCGAATAAGCTTGGAAGTGTGTACACTTGAGAATTGAGAGAATTGAGAGAATTGAGAGTGTACAAAAGAGAATTGACGTTGTAAAAGTCATTTCCTGTCACATACTCACTCACTCACTCAGTCCTCATCTGGGCCGTCTGGCGCTTGAGGCGAAACAAGGAGTTTCCATCTGGCTCAGTCTGCCGCTATCCTGGGGGCAGTCTCAAGGGACAGTCTTGGCCGACCTCGGTTTCTCCTCCCTTGAGGCGTCCAATATAATGATCTTCTTTGGAGAGAAGATGATGGCATGCAGCACACATGTCCCAGCCATCTCCATTGTAGGATTCGGATAGTCTCCTTAATTGATGTTGTTGCTGTTCTTTCCCGGAGGTTTTCATTACAGATGGTGTTTGGCCAAAATATCCTAAGAATGCTACGTAGGCACTTATTTTGGAACACTTCTAACTTTCTTTCGATGGAGGTTTTCGTTGGTTTTCCAACACTCAGAGCCACATAGAAGGACGCTCAGGACATTGCTCTTGAAAATCTTGATCTTTGTGTGGATGCTAAGTCCAGTAAATCTCACGATAGATTTTAGCATAGCAAAGGTTTGCTTTGCTTTTCTGATTCTTGCATTAACCTCAACATCACAGTCACCATTTGCTGTCATCTTGCTGCCAAGATAGACAAGATAGCACGTCCTCTCTTTGGTTTCCATTCACAGTGATTGAGTTAGTCGTTGCAGTGTTGTTCCCCAGGACCTTCATCTTCTTTTTGTTTGACTGTTAGGCCGACAGTACTGGCTGTCTGGCTGAGGCTGTCATTCTTTTGCTGTGCATCTTGGCACCGATGTGAAAGTAATGCTATATCATCCGCATAATCCAAGTCTTCAAAGACTGAGGTGAGGGTCCATTGGATTCCTCTGCGCTTTCTTTTAGTGCTATACTGCATCACCCAGTCAATTGTCAGGGAGAACAGTAGAGTCGATAGA